CCCCGGTACCGCGGACGGGCCGCCCGGACGGGCAGCCGGCGACCTCGCAGCGAGACGTGTCGCAGGGGGGATGAAGACGTTCGGCCCAGGCTGTGACAGCGCTTTCTCAAAGAAACCCCAGCGGTTTTCGGCGGGTAACGAAAGGAACGGGCTGGTTCAGGGCTCTGCCGCAAGCTGGGCGCGCTGGCTGCCTCACGGCTGAAAAGCAGTTGGCATCGATGCTGCTTCGGGGCACGAAACCGCTTTTTAATAGCTGGGTGTAAGATAGAGCAGGAAGGGAAATTATACTCTGAAAATGGTCCTTGTTTCAGGACCAGTATTAACAAAGCATCACTGAAGTTTCTCAGCATTTATGCTTGTTTGTGTTTTAGTTTGGATAATAAACCAGCAACGGGGTTTTTGTTTGATGTGCTGGCTAATGCCTCGGTTCACATGTTGCAAAACCTACAGTATAAGATGTGAGAACATCATCAATTACGTATTTGCTTACTGGTTTAGGCAGGGAAATAAAAAATAGAGGAAAAAAAGACTTGAGATCACACCAATTCAAAAGCTTTCAGTTAGACAGGAGAAGCACAACTTAGTACAGGAGAAACAGGAATTTAATTACCAGACTGACACAGTATCACCCAAACAACTGCTTGCCGACTTGTGACCCGGTTAGTCCAGCTGCAGTGATTTCACATCAGACTCGAGGAACTGAAGTCACAAGCAGGAATTACAAGCAGCTGTTTGTTCTGCAGAACCCTCCTGCGTCATCAAACAATTCTATGTTAGCTAGAGAGGACAGCTATTCCCAGAGCATTTAAATACCCTAAAGTTCACAAGTTTTTACAAAATATTCTTTGCACGTTAGCCAAAAGTTTAGTCAACCCAAGGTCAAAATTGAAAAAATTCTGATGTTTAACCTTCTCCTTCTTCCCTGCAGGAAAACAAGTACTTTCTACAGTTCCAACAGGAATATTAAGGCAGTGGGAACTGAGGTGGGGGGGGGCAGGAAATCGGCAGACAAGTATATAAACACACAACTTGAAACTACTGTCATCGTTTTAGAACTGGCCATTAGAATAGTCATAATGTCAGAAATGTTAATTAATTAACATTGGCTTAATTAACAATGAAAAGTCTAGATTTACTTCCAAGATTCTATTTGCTTAATGCTAATCCTAGAGCCTTTTATTTCAAAGGAGTCCAGGAAAATGCTTGTTTTAGCAACTTCTTCCTTGTTTTCAACTATTTGACAACCTGCCCAGACATCTTAAAATCTCAAATTCCTGAGCCAATTTACTGCTGGAAGTGAGATGTTCAGGCAATATAATCGGGCCCAGTAGCTTTAAATCAGGCTCGAGGACCATTGATTCATTTATTTGGGTTGTTTTTTTTTTTTTCTCTCCGAAATCTGTCTAGCACAGATTAAAAAAGGAATTTAAAGTGACAGTAGTAACGGAGGCTTCAGTCCAAGCACAGTGACACAAGCAGGTGCCTCTGTGTGAAATGACAGCTCAAAACCCACCCTCCCCTCAGTTCACCTTATTGCTGCTCTCCCTTCCCCTCACCCATTGCAAACATCCTTAACAACCAACATCTTTCCTGGACAAGCACCTTGTAAGGTATTAGCAACAGCTTTGAGATACTGTTTTCTCCAAGAAATGTCAGAGCATTGGAACTCGTCAAAGCCTAGAACAGGACTACCCTTTTCTTTTTAAGAACCTTCTCCTCCGAAGGAGAGGATCTGGTTATATTGAACAACAGAAGCTTTTAGCGTTTCCCAAGGGGTTACGTACTGCAGCACCTCCCTCCCCGTACCCAGTCTGTTCTCTCCCCTACCCTTACCTTGGGCAACTCTTTCACTGAGCAATTAGGAACAGACTTAAGTCGCCCAAGGATGCAAGTTCCTTTATTTCCAAAGGAAGGGGCAAATGTCCAATTTCGAAAAGGGAAGAGGATCCAAGTACGGGGATGAAACTGGTAAAAACATCAAGGCTGTTTACTGTTTATGTGGTACCCACCAAAACAGTCATTTTTCTGTTACAACAAACCAGGGTAGGCTTACCCTAACCCTGCCTTAGTGCAGCACCGAGGATCAATGAAGGCCTGTGCGACGCAAAGAACCATGCAAGAATACCGCCGCAAGATCTTAAGTTTTTACTTCACCACCAGTTTTCCACCAAAAAAAAAATAATTAAAAAAACCCAAACCACTTTCACAGCACACTGTGAGAATGTCACATGTAGCAACACTAGATTCTGCTTGATAAAGAGCAGCACCAGAAACAGCAGAGTTAAAAAGAAGGTGATCAGAATTTCTTAATTCCAAACTATCCCACTACATCAGTTCATCTTTAAACGGGTTGTTCTGGAGAGAAACATTGCTAGACTTTTAGAACTTGCTAAAATAAAAAGATTGAGATTAAGAGTAAAAGCATAAGAAAAAGACACATTTGAGTATGCTTCTTGCACTTGTAAGCAAAAAGCTTCATTTAAAAATAACAATGATCAATATTTAGTTTTCATAGTCTATGATTATCTTCGGGATGAGTAAGGAAGTTTGACGCTTTACCCAGAATTTGAGTTTAGAGACAGTAAAGAGAATTTTTTTTTTGCTGGCACCGAGATCTTGGAACCACTTGGATGTTGAGAGTGACACTAACTGAACTGACTCTCTGTTATGCAAAGGGCTTTAGATGCAGCCCTCGGGATTTCCTGGCACCTCACCAAAGAATACCTCCACTGGCTCAATTCAGATCTGTTTCTCATGTGACACCCAACTGCATTTACAGAGATGGAGCCACATTCCAGGTATTCAAATGAAAAGGTCCAGACTTTTGCATATATAAAGACATTGGTTTGTTAAATTAACATTTTCATAGGACTGCAGCACATAGTTTGACTTTTCTTATTGCCCTTGGCGGAGAAGGATGACAGGTTTGGCGACACGGTCTCCGTACACGATTTGTAATCAGCTTTTCAAAGCAGGAACAGGGAACAGAGACTCTCCTAGTGCACTTTCCCACTAAACATTTCAGATGATCTTGATGATTTTTAAAAATTTTTTTTTTTTTAAAACTAAAACATATAAGCTCTGAATCATGCAAAACATGACCACCTCAGCTACGTTAGCCTAACGTAACTGGGCAACTGGTGAGGCTGTCAGGCTATCGGAA